CAGGATGGTCTCGATCTCCTGACCTCGTGATCTGCCCGCCTCGGCCTCCCAGAGTGCTGGGATTACAGACTTGAGCCACCGCGCCCGGCCTACTGTGGAATTCTTTTATACCTGCCATTAGAGTGGGGCTGCTTATCTCACATCTTGGCTTTTCCAGGAGATTATAAGTTCCTGAAGGCAGGGACCCCATGTCTGGCTCATCTGTGTCCTTAGAGGCTTAATACATGTTCTGATGATTCACTGGGTTTTCTTGTTAGTAATGAGCTGATGTGTTGCATTATGGGAGAAGGATCTGGGAATTCTGCGTTCAATTCCAGATCTGGTTCTAATTCCCTTTACACTTCTGGCCAATATGACATTCCGAGTACCTACTCAATGTTATTAAACATTTATAGGCCTTTTTCACACCTGTTGGACATAAAGACTCAAGTAAAAAAAGGGGGAAAAAAGTAGTGAGGCCTATTAACCAGCCACATGATATATCTTTATTCATAGGTAAGAACCAGAACCAGGAGGTTGAGTTCATGATCTGTGAGACACTTTCAGGTTCCAAGGTCATGTTTTAAAGAGAAATCATGATCTAGAAGGCCAGAGCTGCTTGGATTCTGATGAGTAGCCTCGGTACTCCATGCGTGTACTTAGGAGAGTGTATTTCTTTTGCAGGAAGAAACCAATAGTTTTCTGAAAGCGATTGAAGAAGCCAATAAAAAGATGCAAGCGGCAGAGATCAGCTTAGAGGAGAAAGACCAGAGGATCGGGGAGCTGGACAGGCTGATTGAGCGCATGGAAAAGGTAGGACACACCGTTGGGCCGATTCCCCACTTTCCAAACTTTTCCCTGCAGGTCCATCTGAGATATGAGAAGCCCTGGGTATGGATTCCTCTCACCTCCCAAATTTGCGGATTAAAAAAAAAAAAAAGAAAAAGAAAAAGCTATAAAATAAAGTATAAGAAAGTCCAACAAAGTTCTAATTTTTCGGCCAGGCGCGGTGGCTCACACCTGTAATCACAGCACTTTGGGAGGCCGAGGTGGGTGGATCACGAGGTCAGGAATTCAAGACCAGCCTGGCCAAGATGGTGAAACCCCGTCTCTACTAAAAAAATACAAAAAAATTAGCCGGGTGTGGCGGCAGGCGCCTGTAATCCCAGCTGCTCTGGAGGCAGAGGCAGAGAATTGCTTAAACCTGGAGGGGCGGAGGTTGCAGTGAGCTGAGATCGCACTACTGCACTCCAGCCTGGGCGACAGATCAAGACTCCGTCTC